AGAGAGAGAGAGAGAGAGAGAGAGAGAGAGAGAGAGAATTGTCAAGTGCAGCAGTTGATTGGACATCTATGGGTAAAGCACTGTTTCGGTGCGGGCTGCGAGATATGCAAATATAAGAAACGGTAGCGCATACCAAAATCAGTTGATAATCATAATGCGAGGATAAGACTCGTGTTGAGAAATACAAAAAGAACCCATGCCATTCTAATCAAAATTGCACCAAATTTCGTCGAAATTTCCGAATCATGCAACACTCTGTCCGAGTTCCCAACATAAAGTTGCAACTGGATCACAATTTTGGTTGGTCGCAGTGAAAGAAAAACACTGCTCCAACTGAAAATTTTCTAGTAATTACATGTTCTAATAAAGCCTACCAAACCTAAACCACCTTTCAGGAACCTATCAGATACTTAATTAGGGATTTCTTTGGGGATTCAGAAAGCATTTGTCCATATCTTACGTGGTGGTCCAAATTCTGAGGAATCTGATTCCTCATCGTCGCTGTCAATATTACTTGTATAAGTTCTATTCTGATAACCTCTGTGCTGAAGAAGAAAAACATTGTAGTAGTAGCTTACCAATGATTCCCTGCCTTTGCAAGGAAGAACATTGAAAAGTTCATCCCAGAAATACACATAGGAAGGTTTCGACTTGACTATATCCTGAAATTTGTTTTCTTCTCCTTTTGTCCAAGAAAGTGCAACTTCCTCACCCACATTATCAAACTTCCATCCATAAAAAGCAGAGCCCAACTCCAGCTTCACAATCATCCTTTTCTCTCCCACATGGAACCTCACGCATTCAACAGAGCCTGGAGACTGGCAGCGACACGATTCCTGTCTACCTTTGCCAACAGAACCCGCCTTAGTTAAGGATTGGTCTACTTCTACTTTCTCCAGTGGCTAAATTAAGGTACCTACACATTTAGAATCAGTGTTAGTGTCTCCACATGATTCTGGCACATCTGCTTGAAAAAGCGGACCTATAGGAATTCGAGTACAATAATTGCTACATAAGCCAGCAGAATCTGATGTGGAATCAAACTGTGTATCAGAATGATCCTCATCACCTTGAAAATCAGAAGATGACGACTCCGAATCAGTTTTTTCCCATGCCTTCCTAGAAGAATCCTTTGCAGAACAGAGCCTCTGGCAGCCTCGTAATCTTCCAGACCCATTTTTATCACTGTACATACTTGGATACAATTTTTGCTTCTTCTGCACAGAACAGAAATTATTCGAATCAAGTAATGTCAGGATACATCGTCCATAAGTTCCATCCTAATGGTGAAAGACGATACAGTTCACACATGTAATTGCAAAAATAAGTTATGTAATTAACATTAGAAAACAAAAAGTTGTCACTGTAATAATTCTATAGTTGATGCCTTTGTGCAGATCCCTTTTATGCTTTCTCAAAGGAAAAAGTAATTCAAGCCATAATAAAACCTAGATATGAATACAAAGAACAATATGGTCAAGTGCTTTCATTGCTGAATTTGCAAAGCAACATATTTTCTAGAGAAGAAAGCATGCTGGAAAGAGAGGAGTCAAGTTAAAAACGGACAATACATAAATTAAACACTTTTTCCTTGAGTTTCAATTGTCTTCTAGAGTCTCAAGAAATACCTGATGCTAAGCTCCTATAACCATAAATTTGTTTAGTGTATTTTTGTTCATTCATGGGTTATTTAAATAAGTAGCTGTTTTTTATGCCAAATCAAGCGTCATGCAAGAAATATAGAAGTGTTTTCTCGCATATTTAATAGGAGACTCTCTCTTATATGTTCTCCATTTCAGGGTTGAGATAGTTGTGCACTATCTTGGGATGAGACTTGAAGATCCTTTGTAGACTTACCCAGTATGTATTTTGCAGAGTGTACTTAGGGGTTTTGGAAAATGTGTGTGTGTGAAATTGTAGCAATTTTTCACATTCAGATAAATCTTTGTTTTTTAGGGTCCATGGTTTCACATTAACGCATCAATATGTAGCAATATGAAACTTTGTAATAACATTCCACATTTGCCAATTATATGTGTCACATATATTATTCAATACGAGAAAATCCTTACCTTGTCAGCTAACCACCCACCACTTGTTAGTATATCTCAATATAATTTCTTATTGCATTTCACCGATTTTGAATCAAATCTTTGGCTGCATTCATATAAAAATAATAAAATTTAAGCAACTTACTATTAAGACTGCTATACACAAACAAGCTCAGGCAATTAGAAGCTTGATCAACTAACGAAATTTTGGTCAAAATCAATTTTTTGTTGAAGTTACCATTCCTACCCTTTTAAAAACTATTAAAATGTGGTCAAAATCAATTTTTTGATCAACTAACGAAATTTTGGATGAAAACCGTCCAAAGGGGCCCCATATGCAACGATTGGAAAGGTTATTGGTGACAGCTGCAACAAATCAAAAGTTTGGAGAAAGTCTGCTAGTGTTGTAAGGGTTTGGGGCTTCAGCTGCAATTATCCCTAATATTAAGTATATACATTGCTGTTGAAGAAAATTTAATTATGTGAATAATTAAGTACGATAAAAAAAAGGGTTATGTTTATATTTCATTTCAAGTACAGCATGGTAGTATCACTACAAGAAAAATGGCATTTGGTAACATATAAATGGCAACATTCACCAATTGTATATTTCTAAAAGGGGTTTATTGCAATATTCAGCAAATGCATGTTGCCATTGGTTGAGAAAATGAAGAGTTAACAGCGTTTTTTGAGTGGTTGTTGCTAATACACCCTTTCGTAACGTTCAAAAGCCATTGTTGTTTTTTTTTGGCAACGTGCAATGCACGTTGCTGTAAATATTTTAGCAATGTTCTTTGAACGTTGCCGTTAATTAGTTTCAGCAACGTTCATTGAACGTTGCCGTTAACAAGTTTTGGCAACGGGCAATGCACGTTGCTGTATATTTTTTAGCAACGTTCACCGAACGTTGCCGTTGGTTGGTTTTAGCAACGTTCACTGAACGTTGCGGTTAGGTTAAGTGTCTTTGACAACGTTCTTTCAATGTTGTCGTTAATTTCTTAGTAGTGAATTCAACATTAAAATATAAATCATACAAAACTTGACCCAGACCCAGACCCAACCCGCACCCGGAACCGAATCCGACCCTTTTAGTTTGTAAATAACCCATACCAGCCCTATAGTGTCTTCCCCGTCTCTCACTATCACTCCCTCTCCCGCCGCTCACCGTTCTCACTCTCCCTGCCACCGCAAACTCTCTTCCAAACAGATAATTGATGCTAGTTCTTTCTATTGCCTCTCGTGTTTATAGATGACTTGATGTTGGGAGGTTAGGGATGAGATATTTGCTTGCAAACTTGATACTTTTCGAGTCTTCCTATTTGTTCGGTCTGGTGATATATTGTAAGAAAACAAGATAATTATGTAGAAGACATTTGGTTTTAAAGTCCTCGATTTCAGACTAAGAATGAAGAACTGTTGGGGACTGATCGATTCTTGGTTTCGATTCGAAAAAGTTTGATTCTAGTAATATTTTAATTTCTATGTGTACCCATTTCAAGTTAATAGTTTCATCTAGATTTTGGAGAATTTTATTAGATATCCAAATTATTTTCCTGATTGCTAATTTTGTGTCTTCTTTTGTCCCTGCAGCAATTAGTGGTGAAGGCAGTCTCTCTTGCTACTGTGACTGTAAGTTAATTTTATTGTTTATGCATTATATATCCTCCACTTGGTGAATCCCCTGCAGTCTTTGACCAAGAAAGATTTATTGTTAGGCAAGAAAGATTTATTCTCCAAGTTAGCTTATTGGGACTTTTTCTTTTGAAAATATCCCTTGCACAGACGTCCCTAGATTGAGGAAAAATGAAGTTTCTCTTAACTTGTGCATTTTTAAATAGGGAATAAGGAATGTGGTAGTGAAAAGAGAGCTGAAATTGAGTTGGTAGGTTGAATTTGGGCTGGAGAGTAATAAGAGGGGATTTGCACATAGACAAGACTATATTACATGAAGCAGAGCATGACTTATCGGGAATTTACCTTAGATCCAAGTTTTAACAACAAAAATTATTAGGAATTGCCATTGGAACAGCTAGAGGGTGAGACATTCTGATGGAGTCTTATTCATCCACCAGAGTTCTGGTTCATCTTGTGTGTAATTGATTACTTTCTAAAACACTTGCTTGACGTCTATTTTTTGTCATTGCAACTTGATATTTCATCCCTTTTATATTATTTTTCGCAATCAATATGTAATATTTGTTCTCTTAGCACTATCTGGTGAAGTTTCGAGAAGATATTTTCAATGTTGAAGTATATATTAGGAATTATAGCTACCCAAAAAAAAATGAAGAGGAATAGCCATATTGGAATATTTAGAGCACCATTGAAAAGCTGATGCCTGGATGAGAAACTTTCATGAGTGATTGACTAGAAAATATACAAAATCCGGCTGCTAATATGATATCATTCTGTTTTAATAGCTCTAAATTGAACATCTTTGTCTTTGTTGTATGCATCATATATACACGGATTTTCCTTAAACCATTCTATTTATATATGCTACCTAAGAAGGAATATGGGAACTTGTTCTCAGCATTATGATTTAAAATCTTACAATCAATTTATTGCACAACCATTGAAGTGGCCCATGGTGTGAGCTTAAATTGATATACCTGGATCAATGTTTCCCATCATAAGATTATTCAGTCAAGAAATTTATAGTTATCGAGCAAGAAGTTGTTCCAGTACTGCTCATTTTCCTTAACTCCTCTGTCGTACCTTTGGTTTATCGATTTTTTCATACTCACGTGATTACAGTGAAGATTATAATTTTGGAAGATGACCTAAAATTCATCAAAGGTTCACTTTAACCCCCACAATCTCTTATACCACTTTATTTGTTTAACATATCTTCACTGGGTGTTTTGGAATTATTATAGCAAGTCGGTCAAGTGAACAAGGGGCCATTTAGTTGACGATGATGCTAGACAAATAGCTGCCTATAATAGACCGAAGCATAGGGCTTTGTGATTGGCCTATAATAGACCGAAACAAGGGGCCATTTAGTTCACAATTTGAATTGTTGCTGTTCAATGTTTGATAGTATCATAATGGACAAAGAATAGCTGCAATTATCAAGGTTACTGTCTGAAACAAAATCTTATAAATCTAGTTTCAAAATTTAACAATAATATAAAATGATCATATAATTGTTGTTGTAGATTTTCAGAATAATACAGAGATGGAGCACGGAAGTTTATAGAACTAGCTTGTGAAACTCTAAATTCAGAAATGATAGGATGCCCTTGTATTAAGTGTAGGAATCTAAAGCATCACAACTATGAAATAGTATATGAACATTTGATTATTAAGGGTATGGATCCTACGTACACTGATTGGATATTTCATGGAGAAAAACCAAGTAAATCAAATTTGGTCGATGTAGAAATGCCTGAGTCATGTAGGATGTTTAGGGACTTCTATACGCAACATGATGTAGATTCTGAAAATCCTCATGATGGAATAGAGGAAGACATTCAACATTTAGTTAGCGATGCAGAAATACCTTTGTATCCTAGTTGTATGGCGTTTACGAAGATGTCAGCTTCAGTTGCTATGTTTAAACATAAAGCTGCACATGGTTTATCAGATATTGGTTTCAATGAACTCATACATCTTGTGCGGGACATGTTACCACAAAATAATACACTTCCTAACTCATTTTATGAGATGAAAAAACTTGTCAATAGCTATGAGAAGATACATGCTTGCTTGAATGATTGTTGTCTATGTAGGAAGGGGCTTGAACATGTTGAATTATGTCCAAAATGTGGTTGCTTAAGATGGAAAGTTAACCAACAAACTAAGAAAGTTCAAAAAAAAAAATTCCAGCAAAAGTCTTGCGTTATTTCCCTATCATACCAAGACTTAGGAGGATGTTTGGAATAGAAGAGATGGAAAAACAACTTAGATGACACTCAAATAATAAGAGTTCAAATGGTAAAATGAGGCATCCGGTTCATTCACTGGGATGGGAAATGATAAACAGAAGGTAGCCACATTTTGCGTTAGATCCTCGAAATATTAGATTGGGTCTTGCCACCGATGGATTCAATCCTTTCAAAGATCTTAGCTCTAAATATAGTTGTTGGCCAGTTATTTTAACTATATACAACTTGCCTCCATCATCATGCATGTCGAAGGAAAATTTGATGTTGAGTTTATTAATCCCGGGACCAAAGCAGTCAGGTAATGACATAGATGTTTATTTGGCACCACTTATAGATGATTTAATATTGTTATGGAGTGATGGGGTTGAGATGTATGATGCAGTTGCGAAGTCTACATTTAACTTAAAAGCCATTTTGATGTGGACAATACATGACTTTCCTGCGTACGGAAATGTATCTGGATGGCCCGTCAAAGGAAAAATTGCATGTCCTATTACATGGATGAATGAATAGGGTGAAACCGACATATTTCAAATGGGAAGTTACTGATGTTTTCATACGCATTCAACATGCATTCAAAATGATGAAACTGACAGCATTCAACATGCATTCAAACTGATGAAACTGATGTAGTGAACATTCAAAACGTAACTAACTTTTCATTCATCATTCAAAATATTCTAACAGTCCCCCACATGAATGAAAATTTTGAAAATAGAGACTCAAGAGAGAAAGAGAGTGTAAAACGAATCAATCCTGCATAGGATAGGTAGCATTTAGCTTTGAACCTTCCCTCGTGAAAATATATCGAGTATTACCAGCAAACCAGTGGATCTGATACCTTGAACTGTTTCGCCATTTGTGTAAATCAAGACAATAGACCTCACACAGGACCATTCTAGACACAGCATAGTTCTCAATGTTGTGTTCGTTTTGGCCATGAACACGTCGCTTGGTTCTGCAAGTGTTTGTTCAAGGATGTAGCCTTCCCAACCCTTATAGAAGCGGCCCCACCTCACACTCACATAGGTGACCTCTTAACTCAGTCTTTCACAACAACGTTAATGGTCATTAAAAGCATAGCTTAACCTACATCTTCCAATCACTGTGAGCACCATAGGAATGAGCAGAAGGAGAACCTTCTCAGTGATTCACACAGATATACATGATTTAGTTGTCCCTTTGAACCTAGATCCTGGGATCACCATTCAACTAGGTTGGGTTTCTACCATGATATCTTTCAACGTC